AGGAAAAATCAAACTGTTCTTCTTACTCTCACATTCAACACAACATTTCACCTCCTGTCTTGTGTGTTCTTTCCCACACACCAAGCAGTTCTCCAGGGGACAGCCACTGGCTGTCCTGTAATTCGGTTCTTTTCTGATACTGTCTACCTGGAGAGATGGCATCAGATCCCACAAGATTGTTCCCTGCCCACTTCAGATGCCATTTGAAATTAGTAGGTTGTCGCCTGTACTTCAAACCAGTCAACTATAAGTTGATGTTCCCACAACCCCCACCTGGAGTTTGGTTAATTTGCTAGGACGGCTCACAGAACTTGGGGAAACACTTATGTTTACTGGATTATATTACAAAGGACACAGATGAAGAGATGCACAGGTGAGGTCTGGGGGAAGGGCCATGTGGCCCCTATGCCCCTCCAGAAGTACCACCCTCCAGGCATCGCCGCGTGTTTCCTCCCACAGCCTCACACTTAGCATCCCTAAGTCCCAGTGGTCTTATCCCCTTCAACGGCCCAGTGACTAAATGCGGTAACTGAGATCAGAGCTCACAAGTGTTAAAGCTCATTTTTTTTGATAGGCATGACTGAGGAGAGAAGCTTTGTTGTTACCTACCATGTTTCCCTGAAAATAAGATAGGGTCTTATATTTATTTTTCCTCAAGAAGACACCCTAGGATGTGTTATTTTTTTAAAGTACGGTACAACGATCTACATTTATTCAAATATAGTTAAGTCATCTTCTTCTGGAACATCATCATCACTCTCCAAACCCCAAATTCCATCCTGAATTTCTTGCAACTCTATTTCCTTTAGAACCATTGGCCCCAATCTCTCATGTTGAGCAATAGAGCTCTCATGGGACAGATGAGAAGGGCTGCTCGTCCTCTTTACCGCTCTTCGACGAAATGCATGGGTTGTGCAGATGTGCCGAGTAGCCATGCCCATCACTAGGTCTTATTTTCGGGGTAGGGCTTCTATTGCGCAATTGCTTAGAAATCCTGCTAGGGCTTATTTTATGGGTAGGGCTTATTTTCGGGGAAACACAGTAAGTGTCATTCTGTAGGCTGGTGCATGTTTAGTTGGGTGGTGTCACTCTGGCATTAGGCTGACAGGTGAGTATCAATTTCCTAGCATACTGGCAGACTTAACTTGAGAAGTATAGTAAACTCAGAGAAATCTCATAATGTTACAGAAGGAAGAATGTTTTCATTTTGGAACATTTTTTGCAGGAGTCATTTTATCATTTAATGAGGAAAGTGTTTTGCACAACAGTTATATTTTGCCTTTAGAACTTGATGTACCTGGCCAGGTGCTCACGCCTTTAATCCCAGCACTTTGGGAGGCTGAGGCAGGAGAATCGCTTGAGCCTAGGAGTTCAAGACCAGCCTAGGCAACATAGCAAGCCCTCTATCTCTACAAAAAAAAAAAAAAAAAATTTATAAAAAAATTAGTCAAGTATGATGGCTCAGCTACTTGGGAGGCTGAGGCAGGAGGAGCACTTGAGTCCAAGGCTTCAGTGAGCTATGATTACACCACTGTACTCCAGGCTGGGCACCAGAGCAAGACCCTGTCTCTAAAATAATAAAAAATAAAAAAACTTGATGTACCAAAAAAATTTTTGTTCTAATCAAATTTGGAATAGATTACTTATAAGATGATCCTATTTCCAAGTATCTTTCTCTTCTAATGTAATTAAAATATGGTTTAACTTAGGAAAATTCCATTTTCACATAATGTTGGTCAGTTCTTATATAAAAATAGTACTTTGTGTTAGAAATATTTTCTTAAGTTGATTCTTAAATTATAATAGTAATTAGAAAAGTAATGTATGCTTCTCATAAGGATTTCCAAAGTATAGAAATATAGAGAGGCAAAGGTAAAAGCCTCATTCTCATTACTAGTTTGGTGTATATTCTTGCAAACTCTATTTCGTGCATTTATAAACACAGATAACTTATAAAAATATGTATTTATATACACATGCATATACATACAGTATTTTTTTTTTTTTTGGAGACAAAGTCTCACTCTCTTACCTGGGCTAGAGTGCCGTAGCATCAGCCTAGCTCACAGCAGCCTCAGGCTCCTGGGCCCAAGTGATCTTCCTGCCTCAGCCTCCCAGGTAGCTGGGACTACAGACATGCACCACTGTGCCCAGCTAATTTTTTCTATTTTTAGTTCTTTGGCTAATTTCTTTCTATTTTTAGTAGAGACAGGGTCTCACTCTTGCTCAGGCTGGTCTCGAACTCCTGAGCTCAAGCACTCCTCCTGCCTTGGCCTCCCAGAGTGCTAGGATTACAGGTGTGAGCCACTATGCCTAGCCTTACATACAGTATTTTAAAGATGTGGAACTCTATTAATAAGTTTTCTTTGGTTAGAAAATATGACTATATCTCATATCTCCAAACATAGTAATAATTTCTTATAATTTATGAAAACTTTAATAGAAAGTAGAAGTCTTTTGATGGCATTTGCAAATATGATTTGGTGCTGTGTACTGCATGGAAAATACAGGGACTAGTACTTAGGGGCCCAGTTGGTGGCCTAAGTCACGATTCTGTGTGGTAGGAATTCTGTGAAGCTGACAAGTAGGGGCTGCTCACAGGGCCTGGTGGCAGGTGGGCCAGGAGGTGGGGTCTGACCCCCATGCCCCTAGAGAGTGGTGGCATGACCGGCTGGCACAGATTAATGGACAGCAGGAGTGGCTGGAGGAGTGTCAGGGTCGGGAGCTGAGCTGATTCTTCAGGAAGGGCTGGCAGAGAGGAGGAAGCAGGAAGAAGATGAGAGGTGAATGGAGAACTCGTTTTTTGTATAACGAGCATGACTGTTTTGGTCGAATTCCCCAGGAACGTGATAAAAGTGAGATTTATGAGTTGTGAACCAGAGAAAATGTGATTTGAGGTAAGTCTTTGAAGATCAAGCTAAGGAAGTTGAACGATTGGATAAACAAGAAGTTCATGGTCTTGAGTTAGGTAAATTGAAGTGAGATTCCTGTGTTCCAGAGTCATTGTTTTGGTAGTTAAATTTAGTGCCTCTGGGAAGCCAGGCAAGGAGAGGCCTCCCGGGGAGGCAGGTGTGGGCAGTTGCGACATCACAAGAAAGGGCACGTGTGTTCCGTGTTCTGGTGGAGCCTGCAGCCGCGCCACGTGGCCTCTGAGCTTACTCTGAAACTGCAGAGAAAGGAGCATGTCTGTGATGAAGTAGTTCTGGCTGTTCCCGTCTGTCTGGCAAGGTCCCCCATCCTTGCCTTTTGTCCTCTCTATTGCCACCAGCTCTGGTTGGATTCAGGGCAGGGTGGAGTAAAGGGAGACAGCCTCACGGTGAATTGCTGCTTGGGAGGGACTGCAGCTTAACACCTGCTTTAGTGCCTAGCGTACTTCAAGGCGGCCACCTGGCCAGGTCCTGACCTGCTTTACTGTAAAGTAAAGTAATGGCAGAGCACAAACTGCAGGTGAATTGCACACTTAATCTTGTGACCTTGTCAGGCAAGCTGGGCAAGCCGGGCAAGCCTCCAATCTCTGCACCCTCCTCCCCAGCTTCCTCTTGCCCCTTGGGGCACACGGTCTCTGGGGACCCCATTTCCACTCCAGCCAGCAGCCACACATGCTTACCCTCTAAACGTCAGCAGATATCGCTACAGTTCTCTTTTCCTTAATCTTGGGCATCTTGAGTATTGACTCTCCCAGCTGTAAGCCTTTTCCTTAATTCTGGAAGGTTGCTGTCCCTTTGGTTTTTCCCTAACTTATGTTGGAGCAGATGCACTCTAGCCCAGCACTGGGTAGAAGCAGGGCCTGCTCGGCACAGGGAGCAGGGAGGGTCCTGACTGTGGTGCCTCAGGGACCAGGGACTTGCTGTCAGCCTGTCCTTGGTGTCTGTTCTCACGTTCAGACATGAGAGGTGGAATGTGACTTGGGAGGAACTGTCCTCTTGGAAGACCCATGCCCCATGATGACATCCCTGCCCAGCCCCTCACAGAGCTGTCCTGACTGGTGTGGCTCCCACAAGGCTAGAGTCTGGGGGGGGCTTTCATTGGCTCAGGTACTTTCGTTACTTGAGAACGTAAGCTGTGGCAGTTCTAGACTCAGCACGTTGCTCTAACCACGTCCTGGTCACCTACCACACTGCCTTGGCCCATTGTTCCTCTGAACAAAAACATAGTTATCAGAGCATCAAGGGGACTACTTGCTGCTCCTTCTTTGAACACTCCCCATCTGTGGCCAAACACAGCGTTTGCCTTCCTCTGCTAGGATGTTTTATTTTAGCTCCAATAGCAGAAAAAAACGTGTTTTCACCTTTTATCTAAGTAGGGCTTTTTTTGTTGTTTTTTGCCTCTGCAACACATCTCCAGCGTTCAGGCCCTGCCTGAGGACCACAGTGGCCATTTGCACTCGGGAGAGGCTGGGAGGCATGTGGGGAGGAGCTCACACAGACACGTCTGCCTGCAGGCCTGGACCCAAGGGGAAGCAGAAGGACCGGTGAATGCCTTCTTTTTTTCCTCAAAGAGTCGGGCCTCACTCTGTAGCCCAGGCTAGAATGCAGTGATCACAGGCGTGATCGCCGCTTGCTACATCCTAGAACTCCTGGCCTGATGGATCCTCCTGCCTCAGCCTCCCGAGGCTGGGGCTGCAGGCGCCATCATGCTCTGCCTGGGAAGGGTCAATTTCTGAAGGCTCTGAGTCTGGATTTCTAGAACATAATGGTAAGAATGCTAATGACAGGTTGGAGAGATGATTCTTTTAGAAAGTAAGAGATCAATTTTGTGTATCTGTGATGTTCTGGACAGTGGGCGCAGAGAGAGCTCTTATTGACATTTGGCTTTTCTGCCTCAGTGTGCTGGGGACGGAAAGAGCTGGGCTCGTGCACTGCAGTCTCTCTCCTTTGCAGACCAGTGTTCGGAGCCTTAGAGCAAAGAAGCATTGTGTAAACAGGGGCAAGAGGAGAATGCACGTAGCCTGCAGTTGCTGAGAGCCAGAAAGTCACGTGTGTGTGCTTTTTTTCTCCTAGGTTCATTTTCCAGACACTGAAAGAGCAGAATGGCTAAATAAGGTAAGATTAGAATATACCAAATACCAGATATCAGTGAGAATTAAAGGATGAGATACCATCTTTCCATATTTGGGAATTTGGATGTTTGCAGCACTTGAGCTCATTTAGACTTCAGTGGGTTGGCTTCTGCGCCCCAGAGGACTCCGTCGTAACTCGTATGTTACTTTCCTTTCTAGAGTGAGAAAGGTCTCCCGAGAAGAGTGTGGGCGTGCTCATAGTTGTGTTTCTGGCCATGTGTCTTCTTTCCTAGACGGCCAGGGCTCCAGTCTATTTTATAATAATCATAAGTGAAAATTTTGGAAACATTATGAAGAGACAACTCCCAAGAAACCAATATTTTTCTTTAAAAAAGGCCATGTTTTTAGAGCAGTATACTTTGAATTAGATGTTTTTTTCTCTGTATTTTATCCATCTTTAGGGCTATGTAGTAAACACTAATGTGGATAATGATCACTTTACAGCACTGAAAGTTAGTCTATCATTAAAAATAATTTATGGGTACTTATTAAGGTTTATATAGTTTAGGAAGGTTTTCAGCAACAAGTTGAAACCACAGGACTTTTAGCAATCATTAAATGTGCTGACATGCTTAAACAGAATATTTAACCAGAATGACTTAATTCCTGCAACATATTGGTTATCACTAGTTTGTTATAAATTTTTAAGTTAGAAGACCCTGCCCTTTTACTTTTCAAAACCAGATTCTGGCAAACTACGAGAACATAATTTTTATGATGACTTACGTATATTATGTATTTTAACATTTTGTTTCACACGAGTTATTTTTCCTTTCCAGACTGTAAAACACATGTGGCCTTTTATTTGCCAATTTATAGAGAAGTTGTTTCGAGAAACCATAGAACCTGCTGTGCGGGGAGCCAACACTCACCTCAGCACCTTTAATTTCACAAAGGTTGACATGGGTCAGCAGGTGGGTTTCTTCTTAAATGTCCTTACTTGTGCACACAGTAGGATTGCTGGGAAAACATATGTTTTTTAAACAGCTTCAAATTATGTTACGGAGAAAATTGTTCACCAAGAAGGCCTGACGGGTTGTGCCTGCTGTCCCGCCCCAGGCTCTGCCCTGCCTGGGATGCCTCCTGCTGCCCCCCTGGCCCACGCAGCCTGCACCACGTGGCTTCTCTTCACTGTGTGCCTTACCTTCCGTAACGTGTCTTTCCACCCCAGGTTCCTCTGTCCAAATCACCTTTTTCAGAAGTACTGACTTTGAGCAGGCTGTCCTGTTGGGGAGTTTGATGTGTGAATTCATGCTAAAGGCACCAGTAATTGACAAATTTAGTATGTTCACCTCTTTCAAGCAGTTAAAAAACGGCTACTGAGGACTCTGATGCTGGGGTTGTAGGCATCACATTAATTATACAGGCAAAAGGAAAGGTGGATTTTGTTAATGGAATTATATTAAAAGGAAAGCTGCTACTTCCTACTGTCATTTCTAGTGAAAGCCTTAATATTACATTTAAATTAGTTGGTAATGGCAAGTTTCTGTTTTTAATTTATATTTTGAGTCTGTGTTTAAATAATTAGCCACAGTCCAAGATAACATATTTTAGATGTCTAATAAAAACTCAGAAGCTGGGTACGGTGGCTCATGCCTGTAATCCTAGCACTCTAGGAGGCCAAGGCAGGAGGATTGTTTGAGCTCAGGGGTTTGAGACCAGCCTGAACAAGAGCGAGATCCCGACTCTACTAAAAATAGAAAGAAAAAAAAATTAGCCGGGCATGGTGTCATATGCCTGTAGTCCCAGCTACTTGGGAGACAGAGGCAGAAGTCTCCAAATACATGACATGCCTAAGGCGTGGCTGTCCGGTGCAGGTGCTCCAGTACCTGCGCAGAGTGCCTGTGTGACACTATTAATACTTACTTTACCTTCCATCACCTGAAATTATAACCCAAGTGGGGAAAACACAACTATAAGTTAAAATACTATAAAGCAGGGGTTGCAAACATTTTCTGCAAATGGCCAGATAGTAAAGGTCTTAGCTTTGACGCCACCCAAAGTCTTATGGCAAGTTTCTCCTGCTCTCCCTCCCTTCTTTACAGCCCTTTAACCAAGTGGAAGCCTTCTCAGCCCCAGGGCTGTGCAGAAATAGGCTGGAGGCCAAATTTAGCCTGCAGGCCATCTTGTTATCTCCTAACATAAGGTGTGCTCATGTTGGTGGATGTTTACAATTCTAACCCCAGCTGGGTTTATTTTAGGAAGAACTTAATTATTTTCATGTCCTATTACACACACTAAATAAGAAGATGCTTAAAGAATAGCAAGAAGAGTAAGAGGAGTGCTGATTCCAGAAAGATAGCTTGGCATCACGTCCACTGCACTGGCATTCTGTGGACTACAGGCAGCCCGGGTAGGGCAGGGTATGTCCATGCTGGGTGCTGGACCCTGAATGTTGGTCAGGTTCCTCAGGCAGCTAGATTCTGTTGCCTTCAAGTATGTGTCCCTCGTTATATAACATCTGGAGTGCAGTTGGTTTCTTTTTTTTTTTTTTTTTTTGAGATGGGATCTTGCTCTGTTGCCCAGGCTAAAATGCAATGGTGTCATCATAGCTCACTGCAACTTCAAACTCCTGGGCTCCAGCAATCCTCCTGCCTCAGTCTCCTGAGTAGCTGGGACTATAAGCGCACACCACAGCACCTGGCTAAATTTTCTATTTATAGTAGAGATGGGATCTCGATATTGCTCAGGCTGGTCTCAAACTCCTGAACGCAAGTGATCCTCCCAGAGTGCTAGGATTACGGGTGTGAGCCACCATGCCCAGCCTAGAGTTGGTCTCTTAATCTGAGAAGCCATTTAAGTGGTGAGAAGGAACTATGTTATCAAATGCAAATGTCTGAAGTGAAGATACTGAGTTTTCACTTATCAGCATAGTGATCTGGTTGTGTTTTTTTTTTTTTTTTTTTTTTTTGTGACAGAGTCTCACTTTGTTGCCCAGGCTAGAGTGAGTGCCGTGGCGTCAGCCTAGCTCACAGCAACCTCAAACTCCTGGGCTCGAGCGATCCTTCTGCCTCAGCCTCCCGAGTAGCTGGGACCACAGGCATGCGCCACCATGCCCGGCTAATTTTTTATATATATATCAGTTGGCCAATTAATTTCTTTCTATTTATAGTAGAGACAGGGTCTCGCTCTTGCTCAGGCTGGTTTTGAACTCCTGACCTTGAGCAATCCGCCCGCCTCCGCCTCCCAGAGAGCTAGGATTACAGGCGTGAGCCACCCGCCCGGCCTGGTTGTGTTTCTTAGTGATCCACCAGTCTACATGTGTGTCTTGGCTGTGTCACAAAGGGAAAACCTGGGGACCTGGGACAGAAGGAGGTGTTGAGGCTTGGGTATAGGCTCAGCATTTAATTCTACAGCTACATGAGAGGTGAGATTTCGGGACATTTGGGCTTGGCTAAGTACAGAGTAGTGCTCTCTGAAGGGTGGCTCTTCATCTTAAGTACCCAACACTCCAACACCATGTTGAGAGCTTTTTCAGAGAGAATCCCAGATTGATAAATGGGAAAGGTTTTGAAATTATGTGATAGCCAGGCCCTTGAAGTACATTTATTATAATGTCTCCCTATTCACAGTCATTTACCTGTGTTATGTATTCAGGATTGCTGTTATACTTGCAGCTTATATTTTTTATTTACTAACAAGCCCCATTTTTGTGAAAATCTCAAGAAATAAAAAATCACAAGACATAAAGGAAAAATAAAAGAAAGTTATTTTCGAACATGTAGTGAGGATGGCATGGAGGGAAAGGATCAGCTGAATGAGGGAAATGAGGGGTGAGAAGCTTAGAAGGGAGAGCGGAGATGTGTGTCCTCACGCACCTGCGGCACCTGCTGTCACCGAGCTCACACGGGCCTGGCAGCACACCGGGTTCCGCATGCTTGTTATGTCATTTAATGTCACAGAAACCTCAGGAGATAGAGACCATTATTGCTCTCATCTCGTGGGTGAGGAAACCGAGGAACAGAGGTCAAGCAACTTGCAGAAAATCAAGCAGCGAGTATATTGTGATGGCAGAATTTTGCTTCCGTTGTATCTAAAACTAGAGCTTGTTCTCTCTATTTCTGTGCTGTATTGCAAGATTTGGTTGCTTTTTTAACCTACATGTATTTTAAAATAAGCTACTTCTTGTTTCAGCCCCTTAGGATCAATGGTGTTAAGGTGTATACTGAAAATGTAGACAAAAGGCAAATTATTCTGGATCTTCAGATTAGGTAAGTTTTTAATTTGTGTTATATTTGTGTCATGGCTAATGACATATGATGTCACTTAGCTGTACCCATAAGGTGCAGGTATAATGAGCATACTTCTCACCTGCAATTTGTTGGAATCTGACTAAATTCTTATTGGAGATCCAAATGTTACTTATGTTCTGAGTGTCAGTTCGTAATAGCCTAGATAATTGCCATTCATAAAACATGCTAAATAAAAGAAATTGAAGACACTACAAGAAAAGAAAACTGCAGGCCAATATTCCTTGTGAACACAGAGGCAAAAATCCTTGACAAAATACTAGCATCCCAAATTCAGCAACATATTAAAATCATACACCATGACCAAGTGGAATTTATTCCCAGAATGCAAGGATGGTTCAGCCCAGGAAAGTCAGTCAGCGTAATGCACTTCATTAACAGAAGGAAAGAAAAAAACAAGCCACATGATTATTTCAGTCGATGTAAAAAAGGCATTTAACAAAGTTCTGTACCCGTCCCTGATAGGAATAGAAGGAAACCACATCAACATAATAACAGCCATATTTGAAGAACCCGCAGCAAACATTGAACTCAGCGGTAAAAGACCGAAAGCTTTTCCTCTAAGATCAGGAACAAAGGAAGGATATTGATAATACTTTCACCACTGCTGTTCAACCTAGTACTGCAAGTTCTAGTCAGAACAGTTAGGAAAGAAAAAGAAATAAAAGATATCCAAATTAGAAAATAATCTGTGTTTACAGATGATGTTATCTTACATGAAGAAAAACCTAAAGATTCCACATAAAGAAAACCTTTTGGAACTAATAAATGAATTCAGCAAGGTAGCAAAATACAAAGTCAACACACAAAAATCAATTCAGTTGCATTTCTATACACTAACAATGAACAATTAAAAAAGAAAATTAAAACAGTTCCATTTATAGTAGAATCAAAAAGAAAAAAATATTTAGGAATAAACTTGACTAAGGAGGTAAAAGACTTGGGCACCAAAAACTACAAAACATTGCTGAAAGAAATTAAAGAAGACACAAATAAATGGTAAGATATTCCATGTTCATGGATTGGAAAACTTAATATTGTTAAGTGTCAATACTACCAAAAACAATCTACAGATTTAATGTAATCCCTGTAATCATAAATCTGATATAGGATCATTATTCAGAATATATAGAGAACTGAAACTCAACAACGAAAACAAAAAAAAAACCCTGTTTAAAAATGGGGAAAGGACCTGAATAGATACTTCTTCAGACAAAATGTGCAAATGGCCAGTAACCACATGAAAAGATTGCTGAACTGATGCTGATCACTAACCTGACATTAGGAAAATGCGTATCTAGACCATGATGAAATACCACCTCACATCTATTAGGATGGCTACTATTAAAAAAAACCAACAAAACATAAAATAACAGGTGTTAGTGAGGATGTGAAGAAAATTGGAGCTCTTGCGTGCTGTTGGTGGAAATGTCAAATGGTGCAGCCACTGTGGAAAGCAGTTTGGCAGTTCCTTAGAACATTAGGACTGAAATTACCATATGATCCAGCAATTCTGTTTCTCTTGTATAGTCCCCAAAGCATTGAAAACAGGAACTGGAACAGATACTTATTCTGCTCAAGAATACCCATGTTCACAGCACCCATGTTCACAGCAGCACCCGTGTTCATAGCACCCATGTTCACAGCAGCACCCATGTTCACAGCACCTGTGGTCACAGCAGCACCCGTGTTTGCAGCACCCATGTTCACAGCAGCACCCGTGTTCACAGCACCCGTGTTCACAGCAGCACCCATGTTCACAGCAGCACCCATGTTCACAGTAGCACCTGTGGTCATAGCAGCACCCATGTTCACAGCAGCACCCGTGTTCGCAGCACCCATGTTCACAGCAGCACCCGTGTTCGCAGCACCCATGTTCACAGTAGCACCTGTGGTCACAGCAGCACCCATGTTCACAGCAGCACCTGTGGTCACAGCAGCACCCATGTTCATAGCACCCATGTTCACAGCAGCACCCGTGTTCACAGTAGCACCTGTGGTCACCGCAGCACCCATGTTCACAGCAGCACCCGTGTTCGCAGCACCCATGTTTACAGCAGCACCTGTGGTCACAGCAGCACCCATGTTCATAGCACCCATGTTCACAGCAGCACTCATGTTCATAGCACCCATGTTTGCAGCACCCATGTTCACAGCAGCACCCATGTTCACAGTAGCACCTGTGTTCACAGCACCTGTGGTCACAGCAGCACCCATGTTCACAGCAGCGCCCATGTTCACAGCAGCACCCATGTTCATAGCACCCATGTTTGCAGCACCCATGTTCACAGCAGCACCCATGTTCATAGCACCCATGTTCACAGCAGCACTCATGTTCATAGCACTCATGTTTGCAGCACCCATGTTGACAGCACCCATGTTCACAGCAGCACCCATGTTCACAGTAGCACCTGTGTTCACAGCACCTGTGGTCACAGCAGTACCCATGTTCACAGCAGCGCCCATGTTCACAGCAGCACCCATGTTCATAGCACCCATGTTCGCAGCACCCATGTTCACAGAATCATCATTTCAGAAGCTAAAAGGTGGAAGCAGCTCCAGTGTCCACAGATGGATGAATGGATAAGCAAAACTCGCTATATAGGTACATACTACTTAGCCTTAAAGAGGAAGGGAATCCCGCCACATACTGCCGCATGGATGAACCTTGAGGACATTATGCTAAGTGAAATAAGCCAGGCACAAAAGGAGAACTGCTGTATGATTCCACCTACTGGAGAAACCTAGAGTAGTCAGACTCATAGAGGCAGAAAGTAGACGAGTGCTGGGCCTGAGGGTAGGGAAATGGGAGTTAGTGTTTAATGGGTGCAGACCATTAGTTGTTCAAGATGGAACGAGTTCTGGAGATGGATGGTGGTGATGGTCACAGGACATGGATGTATTTAATACCAGCCATGGAGCTTCACTCTTAAAAATGGTTAAGATGGGCTGAGCACTTTGGGAGGCTGAGGGGGGAGGAGTTTGAGACCAGCCAGAGCAACATAGCAAGACTCTGTCTCTATAAAAAAATAGAAAAATTATCCAGGTGTGGTGGTGCATGCCTGCGGTCCCAGCTACTCTGGAGGCTGAGGCAGGAGGATCGCTTGAGCCCAGGAGTTTGAAGTTGCAGTGAACTATGATGATGCCACTGCACTCTACCCAGGGTGACAGAGAGAGACCCTGTCTCAAAAAAAAGAAGAAAAAAATGGTTAAGATGATAAATTTTAGGTTATGTGTATTTTTACACAATTTTTAACATTGGGGAAAGATAAGAAATTGCAGGTCTTCCAAGTACTATGCCCGGCACAGTAAAGGCGGGATTCTTTGTGTCTTGTACACATTCTTACTTGAACGCATTCCTGGGCCCCGCATGGAGCGTGAGCCCTGAGGACACACTGGGTGTGTGATGGCTGTTGCGTACCTCGCGCTCGGAGTGGCTGTGTGGTGTTTAGCAGCTCAGGGATGTGTTTCTTTTTCTGATCTTTGACTAAGGATCATCTTATTTTATTACATGTCATCTTTGAGTCTTCAAAGTACATTAAAATAGTAAATGTATAGAGTTGGTGCCAATTACATAATTTTTTAAAGAAAACATAGAATGCCTTTAATATGGAAAAATCTTATTAAAATGTTTGGCACGATGCGAACACTGCTGCGGCCAGTGCGATGAAAGGGGAGCCCCACTTGAGTCGTCAGAGTGAGTAAGTATCTGGGCGAATCCGCGGGCACCGTTCGGCAGAGGCAGCCTGGCTTTCTCGTGGTACGTGCAGAGTGTCCTGCTCAGACATTTATGTCTCTAAAACGCGCCTTCTACTTTGTTGTGTGTTCCAGGCAAGGACCTTAACTAAATTGGAAGCAGAGATGGGGAAGGAGTAATTGAAAAGTATCAGGAAATAAAATGATCACGTCTTGGGGTGAAGAGGAAAGTTTTGTGATGGTTTTGTAACAGTTTATTGGTGGTCTTACCAACTAGGTAGAGAGTCCTTCTCAATGCAGAGGATTTCTGGGTATTGGCTTTAACACCAGGACAATAAATACTGGAAAGATTTTGTCCCAGATCCCTTTTGTTAACCCTTTGCTCATCTGCTGAGATGCTCTGTGTCCAGCATGGATCAGACCTCCTACAGCTGTCAGGCGGGAGTGTGATGTCCTGCTTCCCAGGTCAGGGATGGGCATCAAATCATACGCTATCCCATTCAAGAGTATTTGACATTTCATATTTATGTTAAAAATAGGTACAATAAAAGGAAAAAAATAGATGCATACCTTGCATTCAACATCAAAGTATATTTATGTTTGTCTTGTATTAATGTTTGCAGTGACTTAATCATTAAGTAAAAGTGAGGCCCCAAGCAGACGTGCTGTCTCTAACTCTTGATGTCTCCGAGCCTGGGGGCGCTGTGAGTTTTCTCATGACTGGGGAGCAAGGATGTGAGATTTACTTGTGGTGAAATAATATCTGAACTTTTTATGTTTTAAACCAACATCAGATTTGTAAGATAAAACTACATTCCATCAAAAGACTGTTTTAGAAGTTGCACTTTGTTATTTACATTTTCCTTTGAGAGTGGGCGTTTATATGCAGTTAAGATTTCTGTGCTTCGTAGTGACATGCACGTGGACAGCACCCGCAGACGTGGGGTAGCGCTGAAGCTGGCAGCCGCGTGTCCCTAGGATACTGACGTGGGCCAGGTTGTGCAGTGTTTGCCTGCACACTGGCTCTGATTGCTTTACTGTCATTATATTCAGGTGATATACCTCACAGATCTATGGTGATTAAGAGAAGAGTTAATGTGACTCACTTTATGTAAGCAAAATTTTTTCTTTCCTAGTTTTGTAGGAAATTGTGAGATCGATTTGGAGATCAAACGATATTTTTGTAGAGCTGGTGTGAAAAGTATACAGGTAAGTTGTTTTTTTAACTTCATAGTTTTCTAAAGTTATCTAAGCTATATTAAAAAAGAAAATCGTGAAGTTTTTATTGGCTCAGAATTTTTTTGAAGTTTTCATTTGTAGGTCATGATTGAGAGAAGCGTGGAGTCAAATGCTCACGTTACTGAGATTCTCTGCAGGCTCCTTGGCTGAGCAGGTGCAGAGCTGTCCTGCATGACGTCTGGTTTCCTGTTTCAGATCCACGGCACGATGCGGGTGATCCTGGAACCACTGATCGGAGACATGCCCTTAGTCGGAGCTTTGTCTATATTCTTCCTTAGGAAACCAGTAAGTCAACGTTTATTTCATTTTTATCTTCGCATTCAGTGACAAAATAGAAGAATGTATAAAATTTTATCAACTCACTATTTTCCCTTTTAGATGCATGAATCCTGTGAGTTTTTTCATATCTCTTTATGCCTTCTTACCTGGGTCTTCCTCCCTTGATAAACAACATTCTTTCCTGATTATAGGAATATCGTTTGTTGCAGAAAATTTGAAAACACAGACTTTTGAAAAAGTATAGGTTCTAGCTAACATTTTATTCAGCACCTATCACTGAGTATGATTTATAAATATTTGCTCATTTAATTTTCATAACTCTGTAGCTAAGTATTAAATATTATTTCCTTTTATTATTCAGAAACTGAGATTTTGAGAGTCTTATTTGTCCAAGTCACACAACTAACAAGTATTGGTGCTGCATATAGGGCCAGATTAGCCTGATACAGAATTCGTGTTTCCAGCACTCTATTGAGTGACTGGGCTGTAAACCTCCCTGCACCCCCAGAGGCAATGTCTGCTATGGTCTGGTGCATCTTGTTCCTTTGTGGGGAGGGTGGTTAATGCACCACACATAAAGTTTCATATACAGATGGAGTGTGCCTTATCCAAAATGCTTGGGACCAGAAGCGTTTCCGATTTCGGAATATTTGTATTACACTTACACTTCAGTGAGTATTTCCTTTGAGCATCATGTGAGTGCTCAAAATGTTTCGGATTTTGGAGCATTTTGAGTTTTCAGTTGAGGAATGCTGAACCTATACTGTGTCTTTAAACGTAATAAAGACTTTTTTTGACTGATCTTATAACACTTAGATGAGTCATAATGTTACCATCTCCATTGTTAGGTATGTATGTCATTCCATTTCTTTGTTACAAGTCATTAATACTTATGACTCATTATGAGCCACAAAACCAAGACAACAAAACTGTTGTCCTACCAGACAGACATTTTCCCCGAGGGGCTCCTGCAGTCTCTGACTGGCTCTGCCTTTGCTCTGTCTTCAGTATTCGCTGTCACAAGGTGACCCTCTCAAGGTGCAGACTGACCTGTTAGGGCAGTCTCTCTTTCCAGCTCCATTTCCCGCCACTGCCCCATCAGCACCTCAAGTCCCAGCCACAGGGAACAAATTACACTCTGGGAAAAGCGTCATCCCCCTTCACACTACTTCCTGTGTCTTCTCATTCTCCCCAGAACGTTGTCATCAGCCCTTTAGTTTCACTTATTTTCAGCAGATTTCTGCACATCCCTTCCTGGGATAGAGGTCCTGTGACAGTCCTGTGTGCTGCCTCACAGTTACTGTCAGCTCTTTGAGAGCAAAGACCAGACCTGTCTCACAGAGACCCGTGTCTGATGGACGAGTTGATCTGTTTCTAACACATCTCTCCAAGACACGCCGTTTTATAACCCTCATGAGTCCTTCATGGAGGTGCCCTTAACATCACGTATAATTTAAAATGGGAACATTAATTTGTACAATTTGATTCAAATAACTTAATAAAAACTATTTGGATTTTAAAATATGGGTTTATCTAGACCAAACTAAGTTTACTACAGGTAGTGATTTCTCTGTAAAAACACAGGAATGAAGTGACATCACTTTCTATTATCACTAAAATTATTATTCTCATTTGGTTATTGTTGCTTAAATAATAGGCTTATTTTGAATGCATTTTAAGTACATGAAACATGGTAAAATTCAGAAGCTAAAAGGAAACCTCCCTCTCTGTCAAATTTTACTTTATTAAAATTTGGGGAAATGAGATTCATAAAAGATTAAAAATTCATGGGTTTTTTTTTTTTTTCACATACCAGTTATTGAAAAGCTAGTATGTTTAAGAAACTGACTTCATTAATGACTATAAAAAAGTAATCTTTAACAAATTGCCAAACATTTTACATTTATCTATCTTTAGCTAGGGAATTTTTAATAATTTAAAGAAAGGCCTTTTTTCCCCCCTCCAGTTCAAAATATAACAGAATCCAAATCTTTAACTCTTTCTCAAAACTTGGGAATACTTTTACTTAGTTTGACTTTTCCACAGATGAAGTTCCTTTTAAAAGAACATTAAAAGGATTTGGTTGATTTGCCCAGTTTTGATAATGTGGTAGCTGTTAGAGGATGAAAACCCTAAAAATTCCTAAGCAGTTAGCTTCTGGAGCCCAGTACAGTGTAGTGGCTAAGTGACAGGCTTTGTTCTCCACTTCTGGTTCTTTCTCTTCTTACTGTGTCCTTTGAACAATTTATATCACTTCTCTAAGCCTCAGTTTTCCCATCTGTAACATGGGTATGAGGGTAATATTTACGTCACATGATTAAATGTCAATGGATATAAACTACTTAGTACCATGCCTGACACATAGTAAGTCTTCAGATTTTTTAGAAAGGAAATATTTTCCTACATTTAGGTTTAGCATTCTAGTGACGTACCTGGCACTAGTGGTGAATCATCAGTAAGGAGAAAAGCTTGGATAAATGATCTGATAAAACCAGAATGTGGCCAGGCATTCTACAATCCCAGCACTTTGGGAGGCTGAGACAGGAGGATGGCTTGAGCCCAGGAGTTTGAGGCTGCAGTGAGCTATGATTGTGCCACTGCACTCCAGCCTGGGTGACAGAGCAGTTCACTCTCTAAAAAGAAAAAAGATTTTTAGCAAGAATGGGAACAATCAGTGTTTACCATTGGATACATCCAGGGAGGCACCAGCTTGGTAGTTGTTGCATGTGCCTCAGAAGAACATTCTGAGGGGCGTTTTAGAACCCTTAATCTTTGTTAGGTTTTTACCAAGAGAACAGATTAGAATCCAAGAAGTCTTTCCCAGAACTTCTCCAGGAAATAGTCCCAGGCTTACTCCACATGTGTGTGTTCATCTCGAGGGAGTCTCCCCAGCCAGGGAGGAGGTGCTGGCTTCTGGCGTCCTTTGAGCCACACATTTTCCAATTCTTCATCTGTAGAGCGGAAACATTATCTTCCATTGTGGGAAGAAATCGAATCCTATCAGCCTAGGACTCCAGAAATTGAAGCTCCTTAACCAAAGGGGGTTTTAAAAAAAAAAAAGGAAAGCTAAAAATAAAAATAATATATATTGATGTCTCATGAACCTTACACGGGGGACTGAAGTGCCGTCTCAGCAACACAGTGGAACCAAGAACTTGAAAGCCATTTTGTCAGCCCCTTTGCTCCTTCTTTCTCCCTCCGAGACCAGCTTCTTGCATCTCTCCAGTCTGCCTGGCAGTAGCATACCTGTTTGCCACTTCCCAGGAGGAGTCAGTCTTCCTGTCTCCTCTGACCTTCCCTTCCCCACCCCTGCTGGTCAGAGCCTAGCTGCACTGTGCAGAGGAGGCTCCCAGAAGCCTGTTCCCACATCTTGCAGATGAGGCCTCAGTGAGGTCTGGATGAGGGGGGCTGTAGACACAGACCTCATGTGAAGTAACCAGGGAGCTTTCTGGGTATCTATCCTACTAAGTTTCCTCTGAGTTTCTTGGCTCTGTGGTTTGATTATTATTTTGGACTGTCTTGTCCCATCCCCAGCAGGGATGCTCTCTATTATTGTCTCAGTGACCTACCTCTTCCTCCCCATGCCTTGTGTCTTTGGGGGGTCTTTTGCAGGAGAGAGTCTATACCCTGGCCCAGCAATACGAGATGTCTAATGCTCTGGGCCTGGGCCTGGGCCTGGGCCCGGGCCCTACGGTGCTCCCAGGTTGCCTCCCCCAGCAGCAGTGGCTCTCACCTTTGCTTCCCTCTCCCATGACTTCTGTCCCTGAAGGTAGAAGGAAGGGCAGGTGCTTCCCTGGCCCCTTTGTACACACCGTGGCCATGCAGGGGGCCCACGGGTGGGTGTACACACCCCTGTGTCTGGCTCTCTGGTTCACTAATACTTGGCCTCTGGTGTATGGTTAGGATCTAGCTGGAGTCATCTTGCCTGCTCCCTCCTTTAGACTGGCTGGTGGGAGCTGAGGATGGTGGGAGATGTCAGTTTGTATTTTTACTTGAGATTTCCCAGGTGATTCTTACTCTGGACTATACAACCTAATACACACAGGGTATCTGCGTATTGTAAGTGCTCAAGTGCCCGGTTGCTGTTGTGAACTATGAATTTTACTGCAGCTGTTAGACAGTGTGTCACAGGACAGTAGGGAGAGAAAGGGCATCTCCATGGTTTTCATGAAGTATGTGGGTATGTTTGTGTTGGCCCAGTTGAAACTTGACATCCTTTTACAATCATGGACCTGTTACTCACTGTTTCTCCTCAAAGAGCCACAGCAGCTCACAGATAGCTTCCTGTCCTTTGGAAATGCATGTTCCACTGCTCTTCAGCTTCCTGAAATAGAGATCTTAGTCATCCAGAGGCAGGTTCCCCTGTCCTGAGGCAGCCTCTTTGCAGAGGGAGGGAGCTGCTAATTTTAGTGCTTTTCAAAGGCATTTCCTAAAGCCCTGCCCCATGAGGTCCCACCCATGTTTCTCCCTGTGTCCTTGTGCAGGCTTTTCAGACTACGCTTTTAAACTCCTTTGACGCACATTTGATATCTTTTTCACACAAGTACTTGTTCTCTTTCTTCTGTTCACTTTTCACATGCTCATCCTCTCATACATACTTGCTGTCTGTTACACTTGTTTTCTTTCTCACACTCATGCATTTACGCACACACCTCTCTTACACTCGTTTTCCTACATACTCGTTCTCACATCTTCTCTCACACTTGTTCTTACACTTGCTTTCACAAACTCAGTCTGCCACACACTTGTCTCACACACTTGTTTTCTCTTGCACACATTCACACACTCATTCTAACTTATTTTGCACACACATTCTCTCATACTTGTTCTTTCTCACACTCTCTCACACACTCTTGTTCTTTCACATTTGTTCTCACACACATACTCATTCTCATATTTGTTCTTACAATCACACTAATTCTTTCTGACATACACTCATGATTTTTCTCTCACACACATACATTGTTTCACACGTCTGTTTTCTCACGAATACACTTGTTTTTCAT